TAACCACAATTCTTTCTAGTGGATTCCCAATGATAGCACAAGCAGACAGTAGTGACAACATAGGATTCTAACAAAAACAGATTAAGGGCTTCATTGATTCCACGACTTCAGTAACACTATTTGAGCCAAAGCTACGACCAATCATCATAGGTCAAATTAGTTGATCACTTTGCTACTCCGCAACCCCCATTCAAAGTCGTGACATTACAGGGAAAAAAAACTTAGCAACATTAGTGGGTAGCTTTTTTACAACGTAACACAAAGGAAAAAAGAAAAATTGGGAAGAAAGAGTAAAGGCTAGAAACATCAAAACAAACTTACATTGCTGCCTTTCCATATCTGGTAAATCCGTGAACCATCCGATCCGGATATGGGATCGTTGTGTTTCGGAGGTGGAACTACATACATCTCTCTCTCTCTCTCTCTCTCCAATTCTCAACTTGAGAGGCGATATATAAAAGTGTAACAGTAGCAATACATACAACAAGAACTCAGATCATATTATAAGTTCCTCCCAACGGATCGAACCCTCCTTTGTGATAAAAACCGGGCTACAGCAGATTCCGGCGATTTTTCGGTGGCAGAGAATTGAGGTAAGATGATTGGCCGACAAGCCACGAGAGAGAGAGAGAGAGAGGATGTGTGTTAGTGTTAGTGTTATTGTTTAGGGGAGTGAGTGAGGAAAAAGGTTTGTTCTGTTGTGTGTTGATGCGCTTTGTTTTGTCAAATCAAAACTTTTTCTTTGATTTTTCTCTGGTGTGTAGGGATTTAACACTTTACAGGATGTCAAAATGACGTGGCTAGAGGTTATTGGACAGGTCAGTTATGTGGGATCTTTTTGAGCGTAGTCGTGGACCGTCGTGGGTCCAACAGAGAAAATGACATATCTACTCACTATGTGGCAGTTATCCTCTTGGAGAGTCCAGTCATCCGGTTGACCGGGCCGGGACATCAGAACGGTTAACTCCTATGTTTGTAAGGTGCGTTTAGTAACGTTTTTATTTTTATAAAAAAAATTTAAACAAATTTTTATTTTTGTTGTGATGATAATTAAAAATATAAAACATGTGTTGATAAACATTTATATTTAAAAAATTATAAAAATAAAAATAAAAATAAAAATGTGTTTGGTATTACCTAAAAAATCACCACCCCAACACCTCCACCAACCACCAACAGCCAATCATCAGCCACCCATCACCACTGAAAACCAGCCACCCAACATCCCCAACCCCTGAAAACCAGCCACCCAACCCCATTTCCAATCGACTGAAACCCAGCCACCCAAATCGAAAACTAGCCACCCAAATCCACCCCCAATCGGTTGAAACCCACAGCCGCCCAACGCTACCCCCCATCCTCGAAAATCCACAACCGTCCAACCCACCCCCATCCCCCGAAAATCCACCACCACTAGCGAAATCCATCATCGCTCCCAAAAAATCATTACCACCACCAAAATAGAGAAGGTTAAGAGAGAGAGTGAGAGCAAGAGAGGGATAGGGGGGAGATGACGTCTAATCCTTCTACTTTGGCTTCTTTTCGTCTTCGTATGGGGTCGGCTTCATCTTTAGCAGAGAGAGAGAAACAGAGATATGAGAGGTGAAAAAGAATGACCCTTTATATACTAAAGAAAAAAATTCATATTTTGTTGTTAAGAAGGATTGAAGCTCATACCTCATTAAATGATTTGTGTGTGTGTTTTTTTTTTTATGTTTTCAAAAACATCATTTTGAATGTTTTTATATTTTAGACTTGTTTTTTAAACAGAACAATTAAAAAAAAATAAAAACATTCACCAAACATGTGTTTAATTTTTTTTTGACCATAAAAAGAAAACGAAAACAAAAAAAAATTGAAAATACGGGTTTACCAAATGCTACCTAAGTAAATACCTTGTAGGCGGCGAAGCTAAGCCAAACTCTAAAAAACCATAGGCTTACGATTTTCTGATATATTATATATGTATACCGGTCATAATTTGGGTCTAAAAATATGATAAAACATAAGATTTTAATGTTTAAACAATTAATTTTATTATATTAAATTTAAAGTTATTTTTTTTACTTATATTATTTAAAATTAAAATTAAATTTTATTTATTATTATTTTTTAAATAACATCAATTTTTTTTCAAAATACATAAATTGATATAATTTTTTAACATCTGTATATTGAATAATGTATGAGATAAAAATTATATTAAATTATAAATTAATTAAATATTAAATAATTGAATATATAACAAAATTAGGTGGTGTGATACTTGAAGAAAAAAAATGTATAGAAATAAAATTCTAACTTACTAATTTATCATGTAGATTTCGAGTGGGTTCCAAGTTCCAACCTCACTTGATTTCCCCAAAGCAACGAGAAAACAAGGCTTGGCTTTGGCTCTGGGGGCTTCGCAGTTTCTTACAAATTTACCCAAACCATCTTCATTGTATGAAAAACAGAAGATTCCAATACTCTACCACACAAATTTGCACAATTTCCTTCCAAAATCATCCGTTCCGTTCCTGAAGAAATCGAACGTACGTCGCCAAACGCCAAGGCTTTTTCTTGTAGAGGTTCGTGCGTGCCTATCAATATCTGCTTCTTATTGTTTGTTTTCATCTAGTGTCCTGGTTAATTCTCTTATTCGTACCTGTTCTTTTTCTCGCACTCTAATTAGGGTTTTACCATCCATCATGATTCCTGCTCTGGGAATTTTCTTTCTTCTTTGTTTTGTACTTTTTCTTCAACGTTTTGTTTGTTTGATGTGGAACCGAATGAACATGATGGTTGGAAATTGAAAGACAATACCTTTCCTTTCGCGTTTTCTCTTTCACGGACTTGTTGGTGTTTTTAGGAATTAAATAGCTGGTTATGCAAGTCCCAAGTTCTTTTTCTTCTACCTCTTATCATAGCCTAATGTGTTGCGGAAGATCTTTCTTTTTATATATTCCTTGATGAGTCTATACTTCCTACATTTCCGTCTCAAAGATGTTTTCTTTTTTAATTAATTGTTTGCCGTAAGCAATGCTTTGGGACAAATTTGCTATTTTTTTTTGGGGGGGGGGGGGGGACCCTGTATTGATTCGACTGTAGAAAGTGGCATAGCCAATGCCAAGGGTTTTGGTTTGTTCCTAATCAAATGCGAATAAGGGTGAGAAGTTCAGTAGGAGTATTTTCATACGGGTTCATGTGTTTAAAGCAAGATGGTATACGCATAACCAGGTTCACAGTAGATTTCTGGTTTTAGTCATCTCATTTGCAATTGGCCCTCCAGTAGGCACTATCACACATGCACACATACACATACACATACACTCTTAAGCTAGGAACTGCAAGGTCTTAGTAGCTTAAAACTCCCACCCTCCCAATTTAACAGTATCTCTTTCCATTTTAGAATGTCCCGAAGTAGGTGCTTGTTTTAAAAGTCAAATGGATAAATGCTGTACTTATTTTGATAGTGGAAAGTGATGCATAAAGTGAATTTTCTAGTCTTGGAGGGTAAAATTGATCATCTTGAAAATTTACATTATGATGTTAATGCATTAAATCTCTTACCTGATTTCTGAAGTAGGACTCTTCAGATGTTGCAGAGGAAATTTATTTGTCAATTGAACTTTGCTACCTCTCCTTTCTCGTTCCTTGTTGCTGGTCAGTGGACGACAAGTTTCTAACTTTTCTTTTTCATCTTGAGATTTTGAGTTTCAATAACTGTTCATACTTGAATTTTTTTCTTGTTAAATGAACTTTTCATTAAGGCTTAATACCATGCTTTGTGTACTTGTTCACCATGCCAGTTTCCTTTGAGATATGATGTGGGGACTTTTAAGGTGCTTTTTCTTCAAATTATTAGTATTAGTTTTTCTTTTAGTTGTGATACAGGCACAGCAGCTCTAATGCCAGCATGAGATTCATTTTTTCCAAGCGAATCTTTTCTTTCATTCGGATATTCGTTTAGAAGATTTAAATGACAATGTATGCATTTTGTGCCACCGTCATTTGTGTTCTCCGGTATTTGTATTATGTTCTCCAGCTTCTGGATTTTGCATAATATGATAAGACGTAAGAGCATGTTTTCATAAAATGACAGTTGTGCATCTTTTTTGTTTGGTGGCTTCTTATGACGTACAGGTCCATCTCACTTCTCTTTTGTATCTTTTCTTGTAATGGGGGATTCTCCTTCAAAGGTTTGTCTACATATTTATTAGTTGGGTGAGCTCGTCATTATAAAAAATGGGGAGTACATTCAATCCACAGATTTTAGTGGAAAAGCTGGCTAAGCTCAATAGTTCGCAGCAGAGCATTGAGAGTATCCTTTTATCTTAATTTATTGATTCCCAATTATTTTTTTCTTCCCTCTTTGGACATCTATATGTGTTAGCATGCATGCTGGTTGATTTTACTTGTATAGAGGAAGGCAACTTGAAAAAAGCACTTCATGTTTTTGCTTTCTTCTGGCATTATGAGTTCATAAATGGCATTAGAAGTTAGTATTCTACAAGGTCAAAGAGCGCTTTATGGGCTCATATCGTCTAATTAAAGGTATCTCCTGTTATTGTTCTATTTGATTGCTGACCATGGGGATCTGCATTGTTCAAGAAAAATTTGGATTTGGTTTTATCTGTTTGAAGAGTTCTTAATTTTTTATGGTGGCTATCAATTCTTGTTGAAACATTTCTTTTGTACTGCTTTGTGTTCCCCTGTTTGATTTTTTTTCAATCTGGTACAATCTATTTCTCTTATTTCTTCCCCTTGTATTAATTATTTTGATGCATCTAAGCCCTTAGATTGGGGCAAATCCACGCCAACATCTGTTTGAATTTTAAGTTTAATCCCGTGCATTGCTAGTATAACCATCTTCTACTATCTCTTTAGTGTGGAATATTCTTGATGCATTTTAGTCATTCATCTCACATTTACTGCCAGTTTTATTGTTGACTAAATAGATGCTATTGAGATGCGTTCCTTAATGTGATTAAGCTTTATCGCATTGGTGTATTTTTCATATGAACAAAGCAAAGCAGGTAGTTGAAACATGGGATAGACAGTTCCATTCTTCCCCTCTTGAGCAGCGACTGGCTTTTCTATATCTAGCGAATGATATTCTGCAGAATAGTCGGCGAAAGGGTTCAGAGTTTGTTGGTGAGTTTTGGAAGGTTCTTCCAAATGCACTTCGTGATGTAATTAATGGGGATGAGTTTGGCAGAAATGCAGCACTTCGGTTGGTATGTTGTTCTAACTTTCTGCACTTGTTGGCTACCATGTGCCTACGTTTTTGGTTATTCTTGTATTGTCAAATGTGGATTATGTTCTGCTTTGACTCATGAATCCCTCGGTTGTATAATGTTCAAAGAAAGTATTATTGATTTCTTTAGCTTACGGTCTCGATTTTTTACACAATGAGAAAGGCCAAAGCAAACTTTGATGATTTTGATCCTGTCCTACCATCCTTAATTTCTAATAACTTGCTAAAGCATAAGCTATGCTCTTTCTAGTTTCCAATATATTGATAATTTCTTATGCTTTAGATGGTCTCCTGTTAGCTATATGTAGTAAAATCCAAAGTTGAATTGATTTGGTTTATTGTTGGTATTGATACTTTCAGAATTCGACAGGTTCTTAAGTTTGTGCTAGAATTTGAGACACTTGCAATTCATAGTTTATGCTTAGAGAAAATGTTTATGTAATCTTTGGGGAGGCCATATCGTTTCAGTGGGGAATCTGCTATACCGTAGTACAGATAATATTGTAGAACAGTTGTCTTATGTTATTATCTGAAGGCATAGCAGTAAATTTCTGTTGAAAAAAAGAATGGGTATTGGGATGTTTTTGTGGTTCTACGGCCTAACCGCATAGGTTCCCTCCTAGATGGATTTGGAAGTCTACGCTAGGGCCTAATCATATTACTATTTGAAATCTCCATTTCAGTTCGTGTTTGCATGATGTCTAGTACTAACCATCTAAGACCAGAATGGCTCTCAGTCATGCGTATATGGATGTCAAATACCACTCATTTTTGTCTTGCTACCTTAAGTCTTTAACCATAGTATAGGATAAAATATTAGCGCAAGCCGCATTAGTGAAAACTCTGTCAAACCTCGCCCAATCAAAGCCTTCACTCTTGTTTATTTGACCGGGTATGTTGCTCTCATAACCATTATCAATGATGACATAATCATTAATTATTGCATTGAATTCTTCTAAAGATACAATATTTGGATGGCTGCCACCAAGTTTTTTAGACATGTGAAATTGTGAACAAATCACCCGCAACCATCCATAGACCTTGTATTCTTAGACATAGTTATTAGTATCGTACGATACGTCACGATACACCTGAAAAATGATATGTATCGTGCCTCTGTATTGTTTTTGCACCATATTGTACGATACGATACGCCCGATACGTGACGATTATTTTTAAATTTTTTTTTAATTTTTTGGGGTTGAAATGATATCTTTTTACTCTATGACTTATTTTTAACTCACTAGCTAGTGAAATAACGTCGTTTCAGTGGTTATAGTTTAAAAAAAAATAAAAAAAATATGTTGTTAATGTTGTTTAATTGAATTCAAAATTTCTAATTAATATTAAAGTAACTTCAAGTAGTTGATGTTAGAAGTTTGAATTAGAGGTTTTTGCATTTTGATATTACTAAACTATGTTAGGAACCTGAATAGTTGGTGAAATGTTATGTTATTATGAGTCTATGACTTTTTTACAAAGGTATGTACATATATTTTATTAATAATTATTTAAAAATTAAAATTGCGTGTATCGTACGATACACGATACGATACACTATTTTAAAAAAACGATACGCCTTTTGATACACGATTTGACAACTATGTTCTTAAGACAGTAATTGAATGTCGTCAACTCGACGTCGCCGTATCCTCCAACAACTGCAAGGTAAGACCAAAAATTTGACTTTATTAAACAAGCGAAAAAAACCCTTTCTATCTTATTAGTAAAGCGCACTAGGTACAATCAAACTAACGTGTACACTAGAAAGTGCTTCGAAAGGCACCAACTACCTTTGTACTGACAGGGCAACTACAAGTAACACGTTTCGAAAATGTCTTCGCCCTTTTTAAACATCACTAAGATAGGTTTTTCCCTGAACCATTGACCCTTGTTTCGGAGGGAGAAGTTGATTCATTCAATGGAGCTTTATTTGTTTGATCTAGTGAGGGGGTGTCAAAAATAAGCCACTTTACAAAAAATTCTATATCTACTTTGGCAGATTATGTTTCTGCTCGCTTTCTCATAAAGTAAACAAGGGTCCATCTAGTTGATGAAGATCAGGGACAACCCTTTGACAACAAGGGGAACTCCAGGGGATTGAAGGAGAGGTTAATTGGCATCGACATCGTCTATCTTCTAAGCTCTTGGAAACTTATTGGCTTGCTTCTCCTTTGGAAGCATTGCCCCCTCTTACGTTCACATTCATATTACCCAAGAAAGTTATATAGCTCTATTTTCTTTAATCTTCCATGTTGACGGACCACTTTTTTGTTAAATTAGACTTAAAGGAATCTCCCAGCTCTTAGATTTTGCTCACGGGAGTGTGACAAACAGCTAAAGTGCTATGGAGAAAGATGTTATATATCCTGGGTAGAAAACTGCATAGAGGTCAGATGTCTTTATTTAAGCATCAGGTTTCCTTTGTACGTTTCTTTCCTTGATTTCTAACTTCCTACAATAATCATTGTGTAGATATCTGTGGCACATGGTGATTGGTAGTCTGATTGATTACCTACTGCAGCATGAAAGCAGTTAATGGCATCATTTGTGCAACCATCATATATTACCATTTACCACAAAAGGTCGAGAAGTTAGGAGCTGTTGAAACTTGAGGCAGTGTTAACCATTTAGTGGTGACCCAGCGGTCGGCCTGTCTGTTTTGATTGCTAAATTTTTGGGAAAATGATTATTCGGTGTTGTTGATAGGTTGACAAGGGATTTGATATTAATTTACATGAGTCTACAGTTTAATTGGATGGTCCACCCCCTTGTAGCATCTAGGGGTGCAAGAATCCTAAAATCCGACTTCGTTTCGACATTGTCAGAGTCAAAGTTTAACGGAGTCGGAGGGAAAACTCAATCTCCGATCGGAGTAGGAGTTGGAGTTTGATATCCTTTCCGAAAAAACTCCGACTCCGACTTTTATTAAAATAATAATTTTATGTAAATTATAAATTATGAATTGCATAATATATTATCATTAATTTTAAAACGCAGCCACTTTTTTTTAGACTAATGTGTATAAGCAAAATTATAAAAGATAAAAAAAGCTAGCATTGTTTAAAAGCTCACCTGCAGTCAATAATTGGAACACGTGTCATGGTCCAAATAAATGCCTCAACTTGTTTACAGCATGAGATCTAAAATAAAACTTGTTTACAGCATAATGAATACTTTGGAGAATTGTGCAGTGTAAACATGGGCATAATGGTAGTTATACCACCCTCACTCTATTGTCTCTGACCCAGCCACTTGGAAGACTTAAAAACAAATTACATAATATACTTCTTAATTTTGAAACCCTATCTCATTCTCATTTATGATTTATTCACTCATATGCGCCAATGAAGCTCCACCTTCCAGTCACTTCAAGCGACGAAGACTCCACCAAATCTGATTTCGAAGATCTCACTTGCGAAACTCCGAAACTCCACTCCGCCTTCACTTTGACTCCAAGTGGCGGAATCAAATCCGGAGTTAATGTAGTTCGGAGTCGGAGGAAAAAATTCACTCCGAAGTGTTGGAGTTCGGATACATGCCCTCTGACTTTGTCGGAGTTGGAGCCCAGCCTTAGTGGCATCTTTCATTTGTGTTCTTCAATAGATTGTTTTTGATCGCATGATGACCATGTTTCTTGGGCTGAAGACGTGATGAGTCTGAGTGGATGCTAATATTCTTGTCCAATGTTAAGAAGTTAGTATTCACTTCAGTAGCATCTACTTAATTCTACATTGTAAAAGGAATAGTTATTTGTTTTAGTTGTTTGACTATGCAGTTGTATATTGCAAATTACACTTGGGTAATGATCTCTCTAAGATGCCTCTGCCAACAGACTTGTTTGGCAGGATATGCCCATCTCCCCTTTTCACATATGTATCTGTTGGTTGTTCTTTTAGGTGGTTTCCTTTCTTTCTTTTTTCTGTTTTATTATTGTCATCATTGCTGGTATTTTACAAGTTTGAATGCATTCCGCTTCTTCCAGTCTCTTATGATTAGAATATCAAACATCTCAATTGGTTATTTAACGTGGTTATCAGCAGAATCTTATCAGTTCGTTTATATTCCTGTTTTAGGTTGGAATTTGGGAGGAGAGGAAAGTTTTTGGCTCTCGAGGTCAGATTCTTAAGGAAGAGCTGGTGGGGAGGCATGTGGATAACACCAATAAAAATGGGAAGCATTCAGGGTTCAAACTGGTAATTCCACTTCTCTGTACACAGCACACCATGAATTACAAACATCTGCAATACTGCAAAAGCTCTTTTTCCATGGATATTGTACTTTTGTGCACGATATATGGATTACTATTCTAACTTTGTTCTTTAACAGAAACATCCTTCTGGCAATGTGTTGGACAAAATTGTTTCGGGTTATCAAGTTGTTTATGGTGGTCAACTGGATGAAGATGCTATATTGAATAAATGTAGGAATGCCATTAGCTGTGTTGAGAAAGTAGATATGGATATTCATGGCGATATTAGATCAGGTACATCTTGCGTGATATCTTTGTAGAGAATCTGAGAGTGCGATGCATTATGCTTTCTACTTAATTATTTATTTGTCCTAATTCCATCTACATTGATACTATACTATCTATGCATGGTTGTGCATTCATGTGTATTCATTCAGTTTTATTCTCCTCCCTTTAGTCTTGTAATTTTCTTCTTAGAGTATAAAGTTTTGGCTTTGTATTTCATGAAGTATTATGTCGGAATTTGTAATGTATGTAAGACACATAAGCTTGTGATATGCACCAGCATATTTAATATAATAACATTCTGAAGCAAGTCTACTAAACAGTGATAATATAATAGCTGAAGAGTTTTGGTACTAACATGACTGATTAGAAGAGCAGAAGAAATTCACTTGGACCCTAACTATGTTGCTGTACTCAAAAGTTATTTTTCATTAACCAAAATATAAAACTGTGGCATTTGAGTTCTTGATATGTGATGGAGAGTCTGTAATATGTACTTCTATTGTAGCAACTTAACAAGTTTAATGCATTTGTCACCTTCCCTCCGTTTTGATAAATATGCAATGTGATGGAGTGCCTTGACGTAATACTTATGGAATGGTGATACTCGAGTTAAGCACTCGCATCTCTTGTTGAGCTTGCAGATTGAATGAACTCATATTGTTCGTGTATTCTACATTTACATTTTCCTAATTGTGTTTGTTTCGTATGATATCTCACTAATGTAGTTAGATCTATTCTCTCTCCCTCCCTCCTCTCTGTCTCTCTATATATATAAATATATATGTATAATTTAAGTTATGCCCTTTTTTTTTTCTCTCTCTGAATTAGGGCAATTCAGTGGGCCTGGAATTGCAGAGGAACTTAAGGGGTATCATGCTGTTTTGAGTGATTGTATTGATCAGCTGACAGCTGTTGAATCATCAAGAGCCAATCTTGTGTCTCATCTAAGGGAGGCCCTTCAAGAGCAGGTTGGTTGTCTAGTGGCTAGCCTATGAAATACTTTAGTGGTACATTACTTGTTTTCACTTTGTTCCATCCTCATCTGATGGAGAGCTGTAATGGTTTTCTCTCAGGAATATAAGCTGAATCATGTCCGAAATCAACTTCAGGTAAGCACTCAGTTGCCTTGGTTGCTTGGAGTATAATGTGGTAGTACATACCATTTTGGTTAATGATCTCTTCAGTATTCTTTAAATGCATGTGAGGTTAATAACAATTGTTTTGATATGTTACTGACGCTGGGTTAGGTCTGGATTCCTGGGGTAATGGTTCTGTTTTGCTTAAGTTGATGAGCGGGTATTTAATTTTATGCTTTATTGATTTTCTTGGGACACTAGAGAAGAAAAGGTAAGCAAGTTGGAAGATTCTGCCCCCTTAGATGCTGGGCCTTCGTCTTTGAGAAAAATCAAGCTATTTGTCTGGTGGCCGTTCTTGAAAATCACGCCAAAACACAATGAAAAAGAGCACGAAAGGAGAAATTGCACTTCAGGAGGTATGGAAACGTCATGTGAGCATAGCCCAATTTAAAGCTGGATTCTGCTTTCCCAGTAGTTTGTCTTCACTTGGTCTTCCACTTTCAACCGTCCCCACTTTGTCTCTCTTTCTAAGCTTCCTACTTCTTGGTGACTTCTCTCTACTCCATGTTGTTTGACTTCATATTGGTCTCCCAGAGAAAATAATGAGCTGTTTTCATCCCACATAACTTATACCCACAAAAGAGAGTGATTGGTAACTGCATCTTAAACTGTTGTCAATTTAAAAATCAAAGTCCATCCTTACTTTGTTGCAGCAACCCCACCTAGATGCCTACGTGCCCAACCAGCTTTCTACAACTTCTATCATCATCTGGTCTGGTTCGTCAATATTACCGTGTGAAGCAAAGGATGTTAGAAAAAAGTGAAGCGAAAGATTAGAGTGACCAAGTTCACCGCATATTCATCTCTTTAAAAGATAAGGTTTATTAATTGAATATTCTTGGTTGGTAAAATTTGGTTTCTCAATATCCCTTAATTTAGTGAAAAATAAGCACACGTGTAATTCCTTGACAAATGGGACCCTATCATCTCTTCACAATGACCTTGTTTTAATGTTGTACAAAAAACTTTTAATTCATCTGTATCTCAAATAATCTGGGATCATAAACTACGGAAGTATCCAATTTTATTTTCCATTTTTTTTTAATTTTATAGAACATGGAGTTATGCGGTGCTTACAATTGTGGTACTCATTTGGTTGGCTTTTTGCAACTAACAATGAATAAGGATTCTTTTGTAAGTTGGCATGGGAGTTAGGGGTGTCAATCGTGTCGGGTTAAACGGGTGACGAGTGAAAAATATAAAAATTCATATACGATAAGTTTAATAAACGGGTAAAAATTTTTAACATGAACACGAATTGTTTAATAAACAGGTAACACGACACGACTTGTTTAATTCATTTAAAAATAAAAAATAAAAAAAAATATTTTAACAAATGTTTACATTATTTTTTTTTGCTTCCAACTATACTTTCCTCAATTGGAGGAGTTTCAGCCAATAGCTAGGGGTGTTCATCCTACCCTACGGATAGGAAATATATTCTTCTGTCTTCCTACCCGATATTTTGCGAAAAAAAATTTTCTTGGCCTATCCTAATTGATCAGGTGTGATATTCGTACCCGACTTCTTACCCGGTTAATCGGGTAGGAAGTCGGAAAAATACTTTTGTAACTTTTAATTTTTAGATCATTTTAACAATTCAATTAAATAATATGTACCAATTTAACAACACAATAAAACAATAACACTAAAATCTAAAACAACTACAATAACAATTACAATAAAAAACAAGAAAGCATAAACATCAATTCATCATAATTGTTACACAAATATAATAACAATTATTTTAAGTTTAAACGATATGAAACACATTAAAATCATAACTGTTCAAATAGATCACCAGTTCGTCACAAATTATGGAACCTACACAAAAAATAAGTCAATATTTTAGCAACTCAAATATCTACAACAATAATAATGTTATAATATAAATTATACCACACAAATACTCTTATAATTATTAAAAAATTATATAAAAAAGTTAAATAACACATTTTTTGCTAGTGTCATCTCATTCATCTCTCTTCAATTTTTTTTCTCCATCATATATAATTGCAAACAATCCCTCATCACAGTGGTACGAGAAGATATACGAAATTTAGGTTCAACAGCCCTCATCTAATCTCTAAACTCTTCTCCTTTAACAAACCAGAACGACAATTCACCCACTGTAATCATAGTTGTCTACCTAATTTTCTTTTCATTGAATTTAGCAACACTAAGGTTACTACTAACACCATCTTTATCTTTTCGAATGCACCAATTAACTTTAATTGAGATGTGTCCTTATTCACACTCGCCAAATAGGATTTACAATGATCTAAATGATAAAGTACCTGTTTTTCTTAGATGATAATTGTAAATCTTACTACAATGCTGACATTTAGCTTCATCTGCAGCTTTAATCTTTTCAAAATGCTCTCAAACTCTAGATAATATTTTTGTATCTTGTCCCTCACCCTGAATGTCATCGGTAACTTGGATGTTACTATTAGAATCAGCTTGAGCAGATGATTGTGGAGTAATTTCATCCATAAGGAAATGATTAGTGAACAAAAACAAAAAAATCAAAACAAACAAAATTACACGCTCAGGTATGTAAAATAAAAAGATTTAAATATTGAATTCATGGTTGCTATGTACCGTATAGCCTACTATAATTGCAGGTAAAGAGGCTGACATAAAGTTATCGATCTTGATCATAATTTCAATAATATTTATCCTTTGCAACTCACATAGTATTGAAGAACAACCTTCCAGCAATATGCTACATCCAAATTAACTCTATATTTAATTAGTCAATGTATTCTACTTCTTGGTATCTTGAGGGACAAAAAAAAAAAAGAAGACCAATGACAGATACTGCATTGCTAAAATCCATCAACAAATCAATACATTCAAGATCAAACAACAAAACAGCATCACCAAAATTGTGTATCAAGATTCTGAATGCTAGCTATTAAGAGTGAAAAATACAGATTACAAGCTAAACGAGAAGTAAAATGTAGGCATAATAATCACAATATCTCAGTTAGTTGAATCAGCATTGCGTTTCTTAGGATAACAATATTAACATCTTTCTTTATTAACCATGAGTATTTAGAATCAACTAAGCACAAAGTACCAACTCTGGAATTCATGTGGAGAAATTACAGACCCATTTAACTGACCTAATATTTCATTGAATTAGCATAAAACAAAACCTAACTTACAAAGTAAATCTGATTACTGGCGAAATTATTCGAATATTTTTGAAGAAAAAACAAGAACTGCATATCAGATTTGCAATAAATAAATTGGGACAAGTCATTCTACATTACTCCAGTTCTCTTGTAGTTTTTCTGTAAGAAAGAATAGGGAGTAAGACCGAATTGGCTATGTGGCTTCCAAATTCTTTTTGAAACATATGTTAATTGAACTAATAGATGCTAGGTGAGGGCCTCAATGAAGACCACCAGATTGTGCCCAAACAGAGGCAGAGAGAGATAGATAGAGAGAGAGACTACCTGGGGAGGTCGGGATTGAACGATGAAAGCCTGAACTATGGAGGCACAGGCTTGAGCGATGAAAGTCGATAGAGGCAAGAGGAGAGGAAAGGAGTGGAGTGAGGCGCTCGCTTAATCAATACTCAGTAGATGATAAAGTTGGTTAGCAATTAGGGGTTTTTTAGTTTATATATTAATTAATTAATGCGGGTAGGGTAGGGTGGGAATGCGAAAATTGATAGGTATTCCACATTCTTACCTGATTTTTGCGGCTAGCCGTTCAGTAGGGTAGGGTAGAAAATTGTGGCCAATCGAAAATTTGAAAACTCCTACTAACAGCCAACAGTTCACGTGATAAGTCACACCACAAAGGTCAGCTAAAAAGAGGAGGCCCCCTACCTCTTTTATAGGTAACTAAAGCCCTTTTTCTCCACTCCCCTGTCTATGTGAGATTCAAAGAAAAGAAAATTCAATGCCTGAAAGGCTTAAAGCTTCTGTTTTCTATTTTTTATTGAACTGATTTCCTTACTTTTGTTTTTTTTTTTGAAATGTTTTCTTTACTGTATTTTCTTTACTCATTCATTATTTTATATATATATATATATATATATATATATAGAATAATTATTAATTTATTATTATAATAAATTTATTTAAACGGGTAAACAGGTTGACAGGTCTCATCCGAACACGACCCGTTTATTAAACGTGTCTGACGGTTCAACTCATTTACCACCTAAACCGTTAAAGCCTCACCCAAACCCGCTTAATTCGTATTAATTCGTGTCAGTTTGGATTTTGACCGGTCTAATGGGAGTATGGTTCCAAGGTGTCCTCATTATTAAATACTGAGATGAGAAGAATAGAAAATTCTACAAAGTTTGTTTCCTTTCCTCTTTCCTTTTTTAATTTTTTTTTTTTTTGGGGACTTGAAGGGTAGGGGGTTGCAGGTCTGGGGGAAGCCACGGCCAAGCCATGCTTACCTTTGCATCCAAACCTCTTTACTCTGTCTTTAATGATTGTTTGAAGAATGAAAATTTGAGCAGGAGGCATGGGTAATTAGGTATAAATAGCAACTGAGAATTTACCAGTTTGGGCTATGACGGGAAGCCTTATTAGTTAATATGCTTCAAACTGTGCTTTGATGTGCACCTGTTAAAGGATACTCTACTGGAATGATTGAGAACATTACAATTGCAGGTTTGAATTTGGTTCCAGCCTTATATGGTTGGACACCATGAACATGAATATTGAATAGTGAGATAATAAACTGCAGGGTTCACGTGGAACATCGTGCAGGCAGAGAAAGATATGAGTGTAGTTTGACAAAATGGAGATGTCTTTCTTTATCTTAGCAGATGAGTGACATGAGAGAAGATTTGTCTTAAAGTCTAGTAGAGTCTACTACAGTGTTGGTGTATTAGTTGGCTGATCCGAACGGTATAACCCTGGAATCATGAATTGTTTTTGGGATCCTGACCCAATAATTGTTTAACCTAGTTGATTCTGTACTTGGTGTGGAATATGTGTACATCTTTTTTGAATGCGTACTGGTTACTCTTTGTTAGAACTGTCATCTCATTCTTAGTGCCCCTTTTCATGTGTGTTGTTTTTAGGCCGCTCAGTCCCAGTCTGAACAGGCAGGTAATATTTGCCGAAACTTGCTAAATTCCAACAATGTGCAATTGCCAGCTGAGCAGAGTCTGAAGGAAATTCACACCTCCAGAGCGCCTCAAGGTTTTATAGCTGGAAATGGAGAACAATCAGCTCCAGTGATGTACACCCGGCAGGTTCCTTTTGCTGAGAAATCTATCCACGCTGAAGAAGATCCAAAATCTGCAGCAGCTGCTGTGGCGGCAAAGTTAACTGCATCAACATCCTCAGCCCAGATGCTCACTTATGTACTCTCCTCTTTGGCATCGGAGGGTGTCATTGGCAATTCAACGAAAGAATCTTCTAGTGATTATCCTTCAGAGAAAAGACCTAAGCTCGAGAATGATCATTCTTCTTATATACCTCCTCAGAATCCTCAAGCAGTTCCACCTTTTCCACATTCCGGCCCAGTGCAACACAATATCCCATTGACCTCCCAAGAGCTGACTTCAAATGAGCAACCCCCTCCCCCATCATCTCCTCCACCGTTGCCACCACTGCCACCTATGCAGCCCCCTATGCAGCCATATCCATTGCCCCAGTTCAGGCAGACTGCTGGTTCAATACCTAGTGGCCCATATGGCTATGGTGCAACCCAACAGCAGCTGCCACCCCTGCCTGGTTATCCGACTGTAGGCATTCCAACCAATGGGATATCTCCCTTTACAGCCCCTCCAGCAAACATTTATCAGGGTTATCCTGCTGAAGGTAGTTTTTATAGCCAGCCGACATCCTTGCCAATGGCACCTATCACTCGCCAGTAGAAATACCAGTCTTTTTTAGCCGTGGCATTTACTGTTTAGAGGCATGTCAAGCCTCATAATACTTCTTGTTACCTTGCAGAATCCTGGGACCTTTGTTACAATGCCTCTAATTATTCATGCAAATTAGTTCAGGCATATCAGTAAAGTAAATGTTTGTAATTTATTTTTGAACTTGCTTCAACTTCTTTGAGTTGAAATAATTTTTTTTGAGTTGTTAAATTGAAGATAAGAGTTTAGTTATGTGAATTAGCCCCATCTTTTTTATCCTTGTTTGAGGGAGTATATCTAGCAATGAAGCTTTGCGTAATGAATGGGAATCAAAGTGGTGGTGTACAGGTAGATCATTCCAATGTGAGACCATGTCTGGGTGGGTTTTATGGACCCATTCATCCTGTTAAGGTATATATGCATGGAAGGAAGGAAGTGAAATGTAGGATGAGTGAGTGAGTGTCGTGACAGCACAGTAGTAGAACTACATAGAAGATACCTTTTCTGGCCATATGAGCCACAGAATTATTTGATAATCTAGTTTGTTTCCGGTGGTTGTGGACTGCAAGATGAGAGTTAATAAACATCCTTTCAATGCCATGTTAGCATATTTGTATATCGAGAAAAGGGATCCACTCTTTGTTAGAAGTAGAACCCTAATGGAGAGTGTCGAAGATTTTTTTAAGAAAGGAAATCAGTTGAGGAAGAACAGAAACAGTTGTTTTAGTGTTGTTGATGAAGCCACAAGGAAAGCGTCATGATGGTCACTTCCTTTCAAAGAGTTGTTTAGGTTGCCATGACTTTACTTTGGGATTATAAATTAAAGTAAAGTGCCAAGGTTGATTAGGGGTAGCGACAAGTTGCTTGGAGACAACAACTGGCTTAAGCCTAAGGACACAAAAGCATCTCACCTAGAGACTCAGACAGGAGGGCGACCAGACTACACCACACACCACACCACATTGTCTTTCTCTCTGTGCGAACTCCCATAAAGCATTCTCACCAACTCATGCACCTTTCATCAAGAGCAATACTATTCTTACTAAATTTTTTTCATTTCAAATAATTTAACACCGCTATAAAATTTGATGATTCTAACGGAAAATATATAGAAGAACACAAGGACAAGGTGGGTGGTGAGACGAAATCACCGTCAGATCCCAATATCGACACACCCACCACCCACCCAGTTTTTTACAACTTGATTTTTCAGTTTACTTATAAAACTAATAATTTAATAAAGCTTAGCAATTAGCAAGCCCCTAATAAAAACCAAACTCAAAGCGACAAACACAAGGTGCGAAAAGGAAAAGCAGTCAACGGAGGGGAGGGCTAACGTCAGAGGAGGAACAAAGGCTGATAAAAAGTCGTCATGTCGTGTCCATTAACCTTAACGGCTCAGTGACAAAGTAAGGTTGGTCGCATTCTGAAAAAGAGCAAAGTGTGTGTGTGTGTGTACTGAGAGTCTCTCAACACATAACAGTCTTTGCTCAGAAAAAAACATTTGGTCAAAGGGACACACTGTAACAGACAGCCCAACCACATGCCAACAACACCACGACGCTGATCATGGACCCTCCTTAGTCCTTCCCTTGGGAGCAGCTCCTTTGCTGTTAGGCTAAAACAACCACATGGTGCTGTTAGACGAAAAGAGCCGTTTTTTTTTTTGTTAGTTTGCAGGCTAAAATTTAGCTCCCAAGAAAACGATGGCATTTGGTAGGAATTCCTTCTGAAAAAAGTTTTCCCCAAAACAAATCCTATGCATTTCTTGCACAAATCTCTCACAGACTCACAATCTCTTACTAACATGGTGTAATTGTACTCGCATTTCAACGCAAAGAGTTGTTATCATTTTTTTTGGGATTAAGATTGATCATATTTTTGCCGTTGTCAATATTTTCAGCTGGCAAAGAAAATCTATACCTAAGAACAAATTATTTTTTTGGTCGACAGACTTTCAGCTTCTATATTTTCTTTATTCACTCTTGTCCGCTTACTCTGGCTTCCTAAGACTGTTTTAAAATCCGGCAAAGGAACAAGTCTAAGTTCTTCAAATATATAAGAGTGGTCAAACTGGGTCAAGGGTCTTCAAACATGTAAGAGTGACCTACTCACAAACTTAAGATTATTCATACTTTGATCGGATTGAGGAGGACCTATTTTTGACCGGATTGAACAGAAAATTAGTCGAGATACATTTAAGTTGATCCGCGCACAACCTTTGCCGTTGAAAAAAAAAACCAGAAAAAAAAAATTAGTCCTACTTTTAAGGACTTTGGTATTGTTTGTATGTCTAGGAAAGAAATAACAGTTACGTTGATTCAAATTGAATCTTACCAACTAAATTGATTCAAACTGATCTCTTACAGATGCTGAAGAGAGAGATATCTATGTTGTTGTTGAGTGAAAAAACAAATCCCTAATTGCATAAACACGATTGTTCATTCTTACAAGGAAAGATATAAATGTTATTTCGAACGGGTGGGTTAATGCACTAACTTATTTCCTATGCATATATAAAAAAAAGAAATGTTATTTCGACCTAAAAATTTGATTTAATTTGTTGATTTAATAATGTGATTTCATTGAAATTATTGGATCAATACCAAATTTTAATGTTTGATGGACTCCATAATTAATTCAAAGGTCTTAATGAATTAAATTAATAAATTAGATCTCACTAGTATTGCTCTAAAAAATAAAGAAAAAACCCGTCCAAATCCAATGAACAGTGTGGCATATAGAATCATCAATGATGTTACACTGATTAAATTTGGAGCTCAAATGACATGACAGCTGACTTGGACTTCTTTATTTGGTGTCATGTCATTTGGACCCCAATAAAAATTACAAATAATATGCTGTCATGTCATTTTTGTTCCAAATTTATAGTCGTTAATTAGGAATATTCATCAATTAATGACAGATAGGACATACATCCACATGTAGGACATGACAAAGATGAAGCCCTAGTTGAGATCAATAATGACCAAAATTAGGATAATAAAGAGTGATTAAATGATATGGCAGCTAACGTGGAGCCTAATTAGCTTTCCACATCAGCCACTATATCATTTAATCAATTTTTTTAGTCCCTAATTTTAATCAGTGTAACATTATTGAGTTGAGAATCCCGACCACTTGATCCACAGGTCCTTAGTTCTTCTTGTGGTATATATTTTAATGGTTTATTATTATAGATAATTCACTTTTTTGTTTTTTTGAAAAACAATTTAGCAGGACTATGGGGCACAAGAAGATCAGGATATATATATAACCATCAGGGTGATCATGCTACTCATTTTTCTTCTTTGTGAACTCTTGGTTTCCTTTTATTTTGTGTGTGTGTCTCTCTTCGTGGATTGTTTTTGTTTCTTGAATTGGTAAGTTAGCAGTCATCTATGCTACTTCAAAAGTCGTGGTTGACAGTATGACTTTTAAGATAAAATGATGATTTTGAAATCTGAATGCAATGAAATTAAGTTACATCCAAAAAATAAAAATAAAAAAGAGAAATCTGAATCATAGTGGTTAGAAAATAGTTAAAAAAGCTTTCCACTTAACCAAATGGAAGAGGAAAACTGGAAAAGAAGTCCATTCTCCAGTGGGATCAAAGTAAGGCCGACAAGGAGGACGCAAGCAGCCGTCTAAAAACCAAGCACTCCACTCTCCAGTCTCCACTCCCCATATATTCTGAAAAAGCCTGTTCCTCTTGTCTCCCCCCATACCTCCCCTTGTCCTCACTAGTCACTACATACATAATAATATCTACACGCGCGCGCATATCTCTTCAAACATATACCACTCTCTGTCTGTGGTGTGGTTCTCTATTAGCTTCTTGCTCAAAAGTATTAAGAAGATTCATTAGTTTATGCAAAAGCAATGTGAACAATTTCCAATAGTATCCCAAATCTAATCTATCATTTTTTTCGGAATCAGGAAACAAACGCTAACTGAGATCATGTGTATAACCCTCTCTCTCTCTCTCTCTCTCGTGCATGCGTTCATGGGTACATTGACCAATTAATATAGCAGACCAACTTTTGTCCCATGATAAAAACAAAAAATAGTAAAAATATGGAACACAGAACTACCCCTCAAATGGAAAAGCATGTGGAGCATATATATATAATTCCCTCTCGCTCAACTTGGACACTCACTCCGGCTACTTTTTCACTTCTATAAATATCATTCTCACTTGCTTAATCATATTCATACACACACAAGCTGCACCAACTCATCACATTCTCAGGCATCCATTTCTCTCGTTCTATTCCCGTGTCTACTTCTATATATCCAAATTGGCATTTGAAACCATGCATTACCAAACTCAACACTGGGGTTCTTATAACTTGCCAACAAGTGTAATTGTTGATGACCCACTGGAGCGTATAGGGAGGCTTGCCTCAGAGAACGCGGTGGTGATATTCAGCATAAGCACTTGTTGCATGTGTCACGTCGTTAAGAGGCTCTTCTGTGGCATGGGTGTCAACCCAACTGTGTACGAGCTCGACGAAGACCCTAGAGGCAAAGAAATGGAGAAGGCCTTGATGGGACTTCTAGGCAGCTCTTCAGCCGTGCCTGTTGTGTTCATTGGAGGCAAGCTGGTGGGTGCTATGGACAGAGTCATGGCCTCTCACATCAATGGCACTCTTGTGCCACTTCTCAAAGAAGCCGGAGCTCTCTGGCTTTGATTGAGCCAGTCGGCCGGAGCTCTCTGATTTTGATACTCTTTCTTTTCTTGGTAAAGTTTTAGAAACCGATAGAGAAAGAGAACTTAACTGCTATATATAGTACTACAAGTAATCAACTAAAGCAGGGGAAGAGGAGTGGGTTGGTTTTGTCACCTTCACTAATTTGACTGATGTATCACTTTTTTCGTTTTTTATGTTGTTGTGCCTCTGTTTGTGTTCCTTTTAGTTTTGGCTTTCAGGTCATGTCGGTCCGTTGTTGTTTATGCTTTGTGATTTCACTAATTCTCTGGTCGTAGAGAGAAATGTAATTTGCTCCCTCCTCTGTATAGAAAGAGAAAAAAAAAACATTGTGGTCACGCCTACTGAGTTATTTCTTATATATTATTCACTTTCAGTGGTTTTTTATGCTTCTAAGACATATGGGCGATATAGCTAGCTAGAATACACTTGGTAGGATAAAATTACGTATCAAAATGCTCTCTCTCGGGCGTCTGTCTTACTTACCAAACTGAGCTGATGAACTCAGATTTCTGGAGAAGATGATATATAGTGACCTAAATGTTTGCTGGTTGGAGACGTGGAGTGATTAATTTTGTTCAGGGATATAGCAGTGATGGAGTCTTAATTTGTTATTGGCGGGACTCCTGCGTGGATCCTCAACTCCCAGGGTGACACGTGGCCCAATAAAATCATTAGGATGTCTGGAAGATGCCGAAGGAGTAGCCGAGACATGGTGACACAGAGCGGCCGAATACGACAGCTGACATTATAGTCAAAGCGATGTGACCTCGCATTTATGGCGAGATGAGTGATAGTGACAAGACAAATAAATGCGGGGCTACCACCAACTGCTCTCTGCAAGTCTATGCCTACTGTCATGATGACTGGAGCATTAATGACTGATGCGCCGAAACAACGCGATTGGTTCTCCCGAATTCTCGGACCCACCGAGTAGTCCGTGCCCTGTCGGTGTCAGACGCCGACCTCTTGGATTGGGCTGCTTGACTCGTAGTATAAATGTTTGGCTTGCGGCCGAGCACTTATACCATTCCCCGAGCATTCAATTCGAGGAGGTGTAAAGGGAAAACATTCACAGCACGAGGGATGGTGTGTCAGATGTGAGATGTCCAGATGAGACTGAAGATCTAGAGCAATCATTGTTAATTCAGGTATAAATATCTCTCAGAAAAATGAACAAAGGTACGCAAAATCAAACCATAGCTCATTGACTAAGAAACATCCTTTTGATTTTACTGACTTAAGCTTCGGAGGGGATTGACTGGGCTCACGCCTGACCCCCTTTCTTCTAACCCCGTTTTTTCAGGTTTGCCAGTCAAGGGATTGCTACCTTACGAGATTGCAAGATCTATCCTGTGCAATTTGGTGCCGTCAGTGGGAAACGAAAGCATCGCTAAGTTTTGTGGTGACAATCGTTTGATGGTGAACACTCGATCTCAGGGTGAGGGAGTAGGTGTACGGGCTAGGAAGACAGATCCCGTCCGGCTTCCAATGATCCTGGAACCGGGTTCATTAGGCCGATCAGATGGGCAGGGGCGCTCGTCGTAAAAAATGTTCTCTATGGATCAGTCCCTTGGGGGGCGTGACCTCCGGGGCCATGACATTGTGGAGATGGTGAAAAAATGGATGATCAAACGTATTAAGCAGCTTGAGAGGGAGAACGCCAAGGTCCTACGACGCCTTGACAATTTCGAGCAGTCGACCAGCGCGGATGAACGCGGCCGCGGGGTTGGGGACTAGGTGCCCAGTCGGAGCCTGTCCAGGTCCCTCCGGCGTGGTCCCTTCGGAAAGGAATGGGTTAGGCACACGCCCGAAGGGCGGGATCGCCCAGGGGGATCCTCGGCCTTTGAGGGACGGTCGAAATTGGGTCAAAAGGCAAACCTATCCAGGTGGGACCTGTGCCGAGGGATACCTGAGGGCATTGGAGTCATCGAGTCTCACGCGAAGTCCATACCCTGAAGGCCTCATGGAGATAGATCAACTAAATATCCTTGGGTCCCCTTCGTCGCTCAGCGCGACAACAAACCCGCAGTTCACTCCGACGAAGTTGTTTCGCCGTTTGTCCGGGCTATCAGGAGGACAAAATGCCAAAAAAGTTTACCTTCTCGCGGTTCAAGATCTACGATGGAAAGACCGACCCTAAGAGCCATCTTCGGCAATACAGACAATTGATGTCAATCTATGACACCGACCAAAGGGTGTTGTGCCGAGTTTTTCCCATTAGCCTCGGGGACACGGGCATGAGGTGGTAAGAGAAACCTCGCCCCCGAGAGCATAGGGTCTTGGAGGCAGTTGACAAGGCTTTCCCTGGCCCGATTCATCACCAACAGCAAGAAGCCTAAGGACATTGGCGCTCTGTTGACGCTCAGGCGAAAAGGGGGAGAGACGCTCCGGCAATACGCTGTCCGATATTGGGATGATGTCAATGAGGTGGAGGCATGTTCGGAGACATTGACCGCGACGTCATTTAGGTTGGGACTGTCCCGAGATACAGATTTGTACAAATCATTGACCAAGAAGGTTCCGACTGATATGAAAGACTTGATGACTCGGATAAAAAAGTATGTCCGGGTGGAGGAAGAGTCCGCCGCACCCGAAAATGGGGTGACAATGCCGAGAAAAAGGGAAAGGGAACAGCCGTCTGGAGGGGAGGACCAATCCCACCCCCAAGTCGTCTATCCTTCCAGGGGGTAAGCACGGTGTTCAATGAGCTCATTCACAAGATACTCCTCAAAATAAAAAACAAACCGTACTTCAGGTGGCCCCTGAGAATGCTTAGCGACCCGTCGACAAGGAATTCGACCCTCCGTTGTTCATATCATAGAGATGTTGGCCATTTGACGGAGGAATGCAACAGTTATCGGTCCTTCTTAGAGCGGTTGGTGCAACAGGGGCACCTCGGAGAGTTCATCGACAAGGGCCCGCCCGGGGGGTCGACGGGGGAACGAGCCGAAGGACCAGTTGAGGCAGCACCCGTGATCGACGTCATCCATGCCTGCACGGTGGAGCGGCCCACATACAACTCCCTCCGCTCCGAGTTGCAAAGGGTGTCCCAGGCAATCAAGGTGGATGAAAGGGGGGACCAGCGGCCGTCCAAAAGATCTCGGTGCGCTGCCGAGGTAATTCAATTCTCCGATGCCGATCTCGGAGGGGTGGTCTTCCCCCACGAGGATGCATTGGTGATCACATTGCGGATCAGAAAGTTCGACGTTAAGAGGATATTGGTGGACTCGGACAGCTCCTCCGAAGTAATGTACAATCACCTTTTTAACAAGATATGACTCTTTCAGAAAAATTTGGAACCCATGAAGACTCCCCTCATCAGATTCAACGGTTCCAGCGCCCTGCCCCTTGGAAAAATCACTCTCATGGTATGAGCGGGGGTAGTGACCATTCCAGTAGAGTTTGTGGTGGTAGACTCTGACTCCCCGTACAACGCAATTATAGGGAGATCATGGTTGCATGCACTTAAGGCGGTCCATTCATCCTACCATCAGAAGATAAAGTTTCCAACACCACAGGGCGTAATGGAAATCTGGGGTGACCAGGCCTCGACAAAAAGCTGCTTCTACGCTGTTGTCAAACGGGAATAAGCGGCCAGAGTCAGGAGCGCAATCCCGATGCGGTGATTGCCAAATAACAATCACAGAACGGTCGGCCAGGGGTGGACGAGCCCATAACAGAGCCTGCCGACCGCTCCACCGAAGCCTTGGTAAAGGTTCTCCTGAGCTCTGATGACAGCGAGAAATACTTCCTGATAAGGGAATCATTCAGCGGTGCAGATAAGAATGATATGACCTCCTTTTTACGCCACAATGTCGATGTCTTTGCCTGGACCCAGGACGAGATCACGGGGATAAGTGCCGACGTGATGATCCATCGGCTCCATGTGAACCCCTCGTTCAAATTCGTCAGGAAAAAGGCCCGAAGAATCGCCCCCATCATGCGAAAGCTGTGGAAGAAGAAGTGGAGAGGTTGTTGGGAGCGGGTTCCATCAAGGAGGTGCAGTTCCCCAATGGCTGTCTAATACTATGTGCGCCAAGAAGAAAGAAGGAAAATGGCGAGTCTGTGTGGATTTCACGAACCTAAACAAGGCTTGCCCTAAGGACGAGTACCCTTTGCCCAAGGTTGATCAGCTCGTAGACGCCACGGGCGGCCACAGGCGCATCACCTTCATGGATGCTTGAGCTGGATATCACCAGATTCCTTTGCATGAGCCAGATCAGGAGAAAACGACGTTCATCACTCTGCAGGGGATCTACTGTTATACCGTAATACCCTTTGCGTTGAAGAATACCGGGGCAACTTACCAACGATTGATGAATAAGATTTTCAAAGACCAGCTTGGCGACACGGTAGAGGTGTACATTGATGACATGTTGGTCAAGAGCAAGGAGGAGGCTGACCATCTCCGCCATCTCGGGACGACATTTGCCATCCTCCGAGAATATGGCCTGAAACTTAACCCCTCGAAATGTGCCTTTGGAGTAAGTTCTGGAAAGTTTTTGGGGCATTTAGTCACTCATCGGGGGATCGAGGCAAACCCCAAGCAGATACAGGCAATTCAGAATGTCCAGGCACCCAAGACTGTCAAGGACGTTCAGAAATTGGCCGGAATGTTGGCGGCCCTTAATAGGTTTATTTTCAAATCGTCCGATAAGTGCAAACTATTCTTTTCCAAGTTAAGGGGGGCAGCTAATGGGGTTTGGAACGAGGAGTGCGATCGAACTCTTGAAGGGATCAAGGAGTACTTGAAACACCCTCCGACGTTGTATGTTCCAGCAGCAAGAGAGGTGTAAAGCCTTTATTTGTCCGTCTCTCAAGACGCCGTTAGTGGAGCATTGGTCAGGGATAGCGAAGGGGCACAGAGACCCGTGTATTTCATAAGCAAGACCTTGCTCGACGCCGAGACAAGATACTCTCCGATGGAGAAGTCGGTATTGACATTGGTGGTCTCGGCAAGAAAACTCTGGTATTATTTCCAGGCTCACGCCATAGACGTCCTTATGGACCGACCTCTCAAGCCAATCCTGCACAAGGCCGATATGTTTGAAAGGATTGCCAAATGGGCTGTAGAGCTCAGAGAGTTTGAAATCAGGTACAAGCCCCGAAAGTAAATAAAAGGACAAGTCCTGGCGAATTTTGTTGCCGAGTTCTCTGCGTGCGAGCCCCCAACACTGGATCGATCGGAGGACGTGTGGGATCTCCATGTTGATGGGTCCTCGAACGCCAGGGGACAGGGACAGGTATCGTACTAGCCAACCCAGAAGGGTTCATCATTGAAAGGGCTGTCAGAT